CCTCCCTCTCTCCCCCACCCCTCAGGTCTACCCATAATGTCTTCCGAACCAACCCTTAGGAATCTCTGCTATTCTGTAAGTTTAGAAAACCCAGCATTAACCACTAAACAATTGTGGTAAAATCCAAATGAATAAAGGCTGATAGTTTCTAAAGAAACTGTTTGGGGCTGCATCGGTGGGGGTAATGAAATAATTTGAATATATCAACAAAGTTGAAAAGGTAAATTGGCCACTGTTATGATTATAAAAGCTGACGTTTCGAGCGTTAGCCCTTCGTCAGAGCTCCAACGAAGGGCTAACACTCGAAACGTCAGCTTTTATAATCATAACGGTGGCCAATTTACCATTTCAACTTTGTTGATATATTCAAATTATAATGGTAAAATCCCTCTGGATTGTGTAAAATTACATCGAAACCAGTGTTAGAGGTAATTAGTTGAACTTTTCCTGTTACTGATTACAGGCAGTGGAGGTCATGCGACAGATGAATGGCGTAACCCATCCATGGGCATTGGAATTCATTCACTACTCCCAGTCCAATGCATGTTATCACATGGATGAGAGTTCTGTCAGCTATGCTGCTGGTGTGCTGCATCAAAAAGCACAGTGACATTAGACAAATCTAATTTCTTCGTAAAATATGCCTTTTATTTTTTTCTCCTTATTCCAGAAACCTTTTTCCTTTGTAGCAGTCTCTTGTGTAGAACAGTCAGTGATATTATTGTTCAGGAGGAAGATATTATGGCATCATTTGGTATTCTCATGAGAGCCCTTTCTCTGTTAAACTGCAACTTTGTGTTTGTCTTAGCATCAAACTTACCCAGCTCTTATTTAGGCCTGCAGTTCTTTGATATCATTGTCCTTCTGTTAAGAGCCAAGGAGTTGATGAATGAACAAGTAACATCGTCCTCAACTCATGCTTCATTTTTTGCTTCCCATGAAGAATCCAGTGTTTTCAGGGTTTTACTTTAATTTTTAGTTGTGTGAGGCACCACAGAGGTTTGGTGACAATGTTTTGACATTAAAATCTTGTTGTTCAACATAAGAGACTGGCTCAGTTTCCTCTAGCAGCATGTCATTTGACTTTTTTGGCGGTCTTTCAAGTTAAATGGTTGACGACAAAGGGCTTTTGAGAACACCCATATTGTACGGTCAAAACCTGGTCACCAAACTTCTTCTGTGCCTCACCCAACTTATAATTGTAGTATCACTTGTTGGTGCCAAAATATCAAATATTCCAATTCCTGGACATGATTGAGACTTTGTGAAGAAACAGCATTTGCTTCATTTTCTGTTTTCATAATATTATGTAGTTCCTTCAAGTAAGCAAAATTATTTGCTTTCTGCCTGCTCAGAATTTTGTCCAACTCCTTGTTTATAACTTACTATGCTCCCCTGCTTTGATTAAATGTGGATAAAGTTGTTGAAAAAGTTAATTAAAAAATTGGAAGAACTATTGGGAAAAAAGTTATTTTCTTGGGTTTCATCATAGAAATTTTTGCACTATTTACTTCTTGGAAGTCTTGGTATTTTTGCAACTTTGCTGTGCTTGATTTTCAGTCATTTTTGGGTACATGTCGTCCTTCGTTTCCAGAATACTGCTCAGTTCTTTGTTGTCAAGGCAGCTTCTCATTGGATCTCGCAATTGATTATTTAGTGGTTAGAATTTGGTTCCTAAAGCATGATTTTGATAGGGCCAACAATTCCCAGTAAATCTAGCTCTGAGAAAAGGCTAATGTTCAAAATGTCAGATTTAAGTGGCTAATTTGCATGATCAAATCAGTTGATTAACCCAAATTATCTAACCATTAGCTTAGATTGAAGAGATAATACAATATTTTTGAAGATGAACATTCTAATCATTCAAGTAAGAAGCTTGCCCCATGCAATTCACCCCAGTTAAAAGAAGGAAAGGAATTAGGCAGTGCACAATAATGGCTGAAAATCAACCTAAATTTTGCTGAAAGAGAATTGGTTTGGGTATTTATGCACATAGAAATAAAGAGCTTCAGAGCTTCAGAGCTTCAGTGTTATTTGATGTGTATCATGCATGAGTAAGTTTGCAACCTTTTGGAAACAATCCCTTGATTGATATTCAATTTTGACAAATACTGTTCATTCTTCGTGTGTGGCAGACGTTCCCCACACCTGCCAAAGTTTGGTAGGTTTTTCCTACTCACATTTTTATTGAACAGATCTCTCTAATTACAACAAAACAACACTAAACTTATGCTTTTTAGTAATTACATGTGGGTACTGAAACTTTCACTTGGCACACTTTCAAGATGAATCCTAGCCAGAAAAGTAATTCTGGGAGAGATATGCAAGGAGTTAAAAGTAATTTTTGGCAGGAAGATTCATGAACTTGCTGATGTTAAGAGATTTGTAAAGTTGAATTATCCCATTCCACCACCATTATTTCAGAGGGTTTGTAACTTAATTATCAGATGTACAATTTCTGGTTCTTTAGCTGTCATTTAGTCCAAATAATTTCTGAGGTCACCAAACCTCACATCTCTAAGGAATTCAGTAATGAAAGTATAACAGGACTTTAGAAAGAGGATACACTGATCAGACCAAAAGTTTTCTAGTACACTACATTATGTTAGAATCTTTGCTAACATAATAACATTGAGTTAAGCATCACTTTGTTGACTGTTTTACTGGCTGGTTTCAACATGAGCCTACACAATTTAAACAAAATTGATTTCAAATTAATCATCTTTTATCACTGGTGCAACCCAAAATCCAAATTGATACTATATGTATATCTTTTATCTCAACTAAACTTGTGGTTGTAGTAACATAAATGATTGTAAAACGCATAACTAGCTAACAAGGATGAAATTCTGCTTTGGGTATGTAGGAACTTTGCATAAGATAGCATGTTCTACAAATTACAAAAGTCTTTGAATTAATTTCTTTTTAATAGTACCAAACTCCTTATAAAACTATGCCTCCTTCCCTTACAGAAACAATTCTTCAGTACACACGCAAAAAAAGAAACTACCAAAACTCTTACCACAGACTGTTAATGATCATGATGCATGCTTTTGAAATTCAACATATCTATATAAATAAAGTTGAATTATATTTTGTCAATGTCTTCTTAACCAAGTGTGATCTGAATCAACACTATAAATTCAACAATACTTTATTTTTAATTTGTGATACAGCAAATTCTATTGTACACACCTAACCAGTGTTATCAATGAACATACAATGCTTTGGTACCAGTTTGCTCTCTAGTAAATCCAAAGACTACATCAGAATTTAAAAAAACCAAAAAATGGATTATTTCATTGAAGCAATAATAGAAAGGAAAAAAAGATATTCTGAGATTTTGCATCTAATATATGCTGCACCATATTGTCATGATGTAAGATTGCAGTGACTATCAACGTCTTAATCATTGGCACTCCCACTTTTAGACCCTTTCCCATGAAGAAAAGTCTGCGAAATTTGAAAGTTGAAAAGATGTATAAAATGGGAGAAGTTCTTATCATTATTTTCTGAGTATTAAGTAACTCAAACCAAGTGGTTTGCAGTCCAATGTTTTTTGTTTGTTTTGTTGACTATTTACTAACAACATCCTCCACCGCCAGACTTGACTGGTGTACTAGAATTGATTTTGACATTACTAGTTCCAGGTTGAGCTGGTGCTGGGCCCATTCGATTCTTTATTTCTGCTGCCATTGTCATAAAGGCTTGCTCAACATTTGTTGCATTCTTTGCACTTGTTTCCAAGAAAGGAATTCCAAGAGAGTCTGCATATTCCTTAACAGAAAAAAAGAACAGACACAATTTACATCAACAACCCACTGTCTACACCATCTTATAGGGTGCATAATAAAGCTCATTTTCATAAAAAAAAAAAAAAAAAAAAAAGCTCATTTTCATAAAAAAAAAAAAAAAAACATCATGAAGATGTCTAAAATGTGTCAAAAACATTAACACTTCCCTTCTCAAAGCCAGACACTGAAACTAACAGTGACTTGTGCTATGTTCAAATGGTTCATCAAGAGGGTCTTTCCTGAAATAACCTCTCCTTTGATCTCTACACATTTATGACAGTTTTAACAAGACTCCTCTGATCCAAGCAAGACTTTTTTTAAGCAAAAACAAGCCAAAATACTGCAGATCAACAGTCCTAGACTCTTGAAAATTTCTATACAAAATACAATGCTCATCAAGAGTAATAAGGGAATCTGCGATCTAAACAACTCTAACTACTGCAAATTTTGTATTGCTGTTCAAGCAAACATTTTAGTGCAGATAACCAGGTAAGCAACAAACAGAGGTAGACCCACAGTCCTCTAAATTGACAATCCACGGAGAGCCACAGGTCTGGACGATATAGAAAAACTTGAAAGAGCGATAAGATGCATAGGAAGCAGCATTCCAGATTGGCTTGAGGGGAAACTTCTATTGAGCCTTTAGTTAAAGTTTTCAGTGCTATAATGGTACCTTTGCAGTTGTGTAGTCTATTTAGCCTTTAGTTAAAGTTTTCAGTGCTATAACAGTACCTTTGCAGTTGTGTAGTCCACTACTTTCTTTGTTGTGAGATCACATTTGTTCCCAACGAGCAGTTTATTTACATTTTCACAGGCATATCGGTCAATTTCTTGTAGCCACTGCTTGACATTGTTAAAGGACTCCTGCAATTTGACAAGACAAAATAACAAACATTAGAATGTAAACACAAAAACCAGTCACACTACACAATAGCCTTGAATGGTAATTGGAACATGAACTTTTACAGACTCAATTTTCTCATGCTAGTATAGACCATATGACCTTATCAAAGTTCAACAGTCAGTTTTGATGGGTAGGCAAACACATCAGAAACAGCAGAGCAGGTATTAAGACTCTTTTACCCCACAAAAATTTATCAAGAGCAAGCTTCTGTTGCTTTAACAAAGGTAACATATCATTCTCTCAAAAGTGATAGGCCTTACTGTGCCAGCTTTTTCAGTTTTATTTTAAACTTTCCCATACATTTCTTCGTTTCCTCTCTTAATGAACATTTGAGACAAGTGTGGGACCTGAATACTCTTTCAAACACCTAATGGTCCAGAGACAATTTGTTTTTACCAATTTAGTTGATACTATAAATTAACCACCATTGAAAAATAAAAGCTAATGTTTTATGCAGTCAAAGGGATACATACAGTAGTGATTGTTGTACATTTTCTCAAGTTTTAGTCTGTAAAAACTTTAAGTTGTGAATGAATTTTCAAATCATTGATTTTTCATAACTAAGATGTTACCATAGTTATTTACATCAACTATACCAATCCACCAAGATAATACCCAAAAAAAATAATCAATTCCCACCCAAAATCAAATGGTTGCTCTTTTCCAACCAAAATTATCGCACAAATGTTGACAAATCTATTGACAGATGAGTAAGTTGACATAAACTTGAAATGTTTGCAAAAAAAGTGGTCTATCCCAAAAGAAATTAAGTTAAAAGCTACTGACAAAGCTAATTGTAATATTCATCAGGATCCCCAAAGATATTCACATTTTCGAAATAACTTTCGTTGACTTCAAACAGCCGAGAGTCGGGAGCTTTGTGTATTGCTAATAAAAAGGACTTGGTGAACTAAGTAGGCAATTGCCCTTTTAAATCCAACTATCATACTATACTTCAGTTCACAAGTATGTTGCACAACCTTGACATTTTGATGAAATGACTCTGCAAGTGTAAACGCCAAGGACATTTTGCGATAATTTTTTCGCAAACGTGTGGTATTTGCGGCTGCACATCCTTTACAAACCAAAGTTCAATGCCTCAGAACAATGCGTTATAACTTGCAGACAAGAAACAATAAGTCAAGTGTACATTGTTAAACTTTAGAAAGTCATTATGAGCCATACTTTCCCTAAATTACCTGGTCTGTAACATCATAAACGACTATAATTCCATGAGCTCCGCGGTAGTAGCTAGATGTGATGGTTCGGAATCTCTCTTGGCCGGCCGTATCCCACTGGAAAAGTAAATTCAATCACATTCGATTTAGTTGTATTAAAATATCGCCATTGACACTTGATCAAAGTACAGTGCGTTTTCAAACGACGTAATGGCCACACTTTCATGATTCTTTCGCCAATCGATGGGCTCAAAATTGGTATTTGTTTGAAATTCAAATATATTGCAGGGTTCGTGAAATCTAGTCTGTACTTACAATTTGCAGCTTTATCGTCTTGCCATCCAATTCTATGGTTCGTATTTTCTAAATGTGGGCAAAAAGAAAACATTGAAAGCAAAATGAATCATTACGTATCCATCTTCAGCTACCGACCCGCGCAGGCTAACTGTAGCTAATCGATAAAATAACAGCTGAAGATTAGGTCATAAAACTTACGAAGTCGACCCCAATTGTACTGATGTAGCTTTCCGTATATGTGTCATCCTGTTGAGACGAGTAAAATAAGGTAGGTTAAAATAAATTCGGCTAAAAAGCAACACCGGTAGCCGGCGAGACTCCTATGACGATCCAAATCCAACATATTAGGCAATTATGTCTCGTAAAAAGAACATGAAAATGGGAATACCAACCGCGAACCGAAGCAACAAGCATGATTTTCCGACACCAGAGTCTCCGATGAGAAGAAGCTTGAACAAGTAATCACTGTGGATAAAATAGAGCAGAAATACGTTCCGTAAGAGAAAAATTCCAAATGACACGTAGAATCATCCCTGGTTAAACTCAAAACCCTGCCAGAGAGAAACTGCGAAGATATAGCACAATCTACACCTACTATTCGGGATTCATAGTGGACATGTTAGGCTGTCTCGGTCCCAGTTGATTTGGTCGTTGATTTAGCTTCGTGTCAAGCTAAAATTTAAATGAAATGATGTACAAATACCGGCAAATAACTTGCTTTTTTAGTGAAAGAGGAAGCGAGCCACTAAGCTCAGCTTGGCGTGGTGCTAACAATAATCCTTAGAGGGGGATGAACGAATTGCCCTACACCATGACGTCATGTGGCTCTAAGACGACGTGGCAAGTTCACTCGTAAAATTCTCGTATCTTGCTCGGAACAAGTCGGCTTATCTGACGACTCTTGCGCGGAAATTTTTTGTGTCTTGCGTAACTTTCGGTTCAGTTATAAAAAACGATACTTCTCACGAAATGCTGTCTCAATATTGGAACAGAAAAAATATTTTGTCATTTCCTGCCTGAAGAATTCTTCCGACATAATTCTTGAAGTTCATTGACCTGTTGCTTATTTATGCCCCTCAGAATCATGCGTACAAAATTTGCTCCCTCTTTGTCCCTGAAAGGCGTCCTTCCGTGAGACGGCAGCTATGAACATTTGAATCCACTTCCCCTCTAAGACTGGAAATACTGAACTCAATTTGCCGCAAGGAAAGTCTTGTAAGATGGGTTTATTTCTTAGGCACTAAGGATAAAGGTTATAATTCTATTGATATGGGTTATTATTAACCAAGCGTGAGGTCAAGATGGCTGGATATTGGCCGAGTCCTTTTTTGCATTTTTATGGACCGAGACGAAGTCGATGTCCATGAAAAAGCGAAAAAAGAACGAGGCTAATATCCAGCCATCTTGATGGAACAAGCTTGGTTAATAAAGGATTTATCGTATCGCAAAAAGATTTCGCTGTAATATGAATATGGAATGACTTGTTCACTTCGAGAGCCAGCAAGAAAGCCAACTGTATTTGTAGCGAGAGTCGTTTCTGTTTTTATTACTTCGACTATCTTCTCCCGCTTTTTGCGTTTCCATCGCTGAAACTGTCCAAGAATTACGAACGTAGTTCTAATTCAATTTTTTTCATGCGCGGGATCAATGGGGGCAATTCCGAGCGGGGAAGGTGGGACTATCTTGCCCGCTCGGGTAGCCAATCAGAACAGAGGATTCACTTCATCTTGCCCACGGGCGCTGTGCGCGATGTAATAAAGTACGTATTGAAACGTATGGTTAAATGTTATGTCATACCACGATCCACGGTTTGCATCACGCGAGAGAAGAAGGGCCTGACAAAATAATTCTTTACTGTAGGGGACCTGAGATACATCATACATCACAGATAACTCATAAAGCAAGAAAACCCCACATCGTTCTTTCGTGCCTCTTTTCCCCGCGGAAATATAATATAAATCTTCAGTATTGTCATTGTTTGTCGGCTGACTTCGTCATATTCCGCTTGGAATGCTAGAAGAAAACTTTAATAGCCTCTAAAATCATGTCACGTGGATTACAACGCCGTTAAAGCGTTACAAAATGCTTTCTATGGCTTATGTATTTTCTTCAGTTTTTTGACCGCTTCTCTGAGTCACTGGGGGCGAGGCAATTAATTATTCTTTAACAGAGTTCAGTAAGTAAATTCAATTTGAATGTGCAATCTTCAATTGGCTTTTACTTTATTCAACGAAACTCGGTCAAAAGTTGATTAAAATTCTGAAAGTTAAGATGATGATTTTGCTCTGTGATTATGAGCATTCGAGCTGTGCTCTCTCGTTTTCTTTAATGCCAGAGGGATTGATAAACATTTCGTTTCTTTCCCTACAGTTAGGACTACAATATTCAGCACTCAAAACTCACTCATATTTTCACAATCAGAGTACGCTCAGGTTCAAAAAAGGGACTGTTTTAATTTATTAGCAGACAGGACGGTTTTATCAGCTAAATGGCGGGAAAATGTTGCCACGAAAGTTACCCGGGTATGTACGTCCGACAGCGTCGAGTCCCAGGGGACGTCTGATGTAGAACAAGATATCCATTTGAGAGAAGTTTGCTAAAAACAGGGTTAACGTTCAATATTTCAAACGCATGAAATCGGAAGTTTCATTATAATAGAGATGGATCAAAAGTATGATGGAGGATTTGCTCAACAAAATACAGCAAATACGCTGGCGTGCAATTTTTTTTTTCACGCAGATGGTATATACATGCAGAGGCGCTATTGTCGAGTACCTTTTTTGCATCAACCTTTCGCATCTTCACATTCGCGATATGTTTACTCTTCATACTGCTCCTTATACGTTACCTTCGGTAACGATTAGGAGAATTTGTTTGACAGTCACGAGTTTCTTTAATATGTTACCAGTAATTGTGTAATCCAATAAATCATTATTATTATTATTATTATTATTATTATTATTATGTGATAAGTTTCCTTTTTCTGATGACCTTAATGTTTGAATCGATCAGCAGTTAGGCTGTAATAAGAAATAGATCCCAGTCTCTCATAGACCTTAAAGAGTTTAACATATACTAAATCTACCGAAGGTGTCTACACGCAGATTCTTGGTAGAAATCCGGGTGGTAGATACACGGTTCCCCTCCCTAATCAAGAATGCTTTCCTACCGACGGAGTCGTATCTTTCTCTCGCTGAGCCAACTTTTTCAGCAGCGCCTCTGCCTCGCTCACAGCACCGCCATCGACAACGTACTTATCAACGAACGAATCATCAAAGCAACTTGTTAAGAAGATCCTCGGAGGTTCCTCCTCTACTCTGTGAACCCTGAACAACTCATATGGTGGAAGCAGTACTTCATCCTCTTCGGGAAAAGCCGACAGCATCTTAATGGAGGCTCCAATTTTGGTGACTATAACAAACTGACTTCCGTTCGATTTTTTCTGAAAGTCCTCTGCTACTTTGATGTTACCGGTGGTTGAAGTGTAAGAACCAAATCGTACTATTTGACCAGGTTGGGCGGCAAATCTTATGGTGACGCCTCGGTAAACGATTCTTGTACGACTTACTTTGGGCGTGGCCGCGAGGATTTTTCGACAAGCCTCTCGGAGAAGGTACGATAGAATCGGGAAATCCATGCCATCGCCTGAGTAACCTTTCCTGGTGTCGTTATTGAAATAGCGATACACTGGTGGGTTTTCCAACGTGTAGCAAATAACGGCGTAAATCTCGTCATCTGTCAGACCAGCGCGGCCAAAATTCATTTCAAGTATCTCTTTCATTTCTGGCCATTTCTTCATGGTTTCTTCGTATCCGGCGTGAATAAGGGCGTTCTTTTTACCCTCGTAGGCCAACCCCCTCCTCATCATCGTTACCATGATTTCACCGGGAAAGGACACAGCGAAACTGTTTTCTGCCAGCCCCATTTGAATAACGTGCGCGAAGCTGGAGAACCTGTTGTATTCAGTCTCTGAATCTGCGGATGGATGTGTCACTGTTAGAGGAAGAAACCCTTCCGGTGGAGAGTGGACGAAGGGGTTCGTTTCCTGTACTCTCTCTCCTCTCATGAGAGACAAGCATGGATAGACAGCCCCCTCGAATGTTACTCCTGAAAAGGCGCAGCCCATCTCTCCTTCCCAATCACCGTTCAATCCAAAACTAATTTCTCCGTCTTCCAAACTGAGAGCCATGCAAATCACATCACCAGCCTTCCACCGTCGGCCATATTGTTCTTTGTTATTACTATGCCACTTTAAACCTCTCATTCCGTCGTAGGCCCACGAATGCTGATCGTCTCCGCAGCCTTTGCCTTCGTCAGCTATGGCCGTGAAACTTTCGTCTGCCCACCCAAGCTGCATGTAGCCGCCTGTATTTGTTTTGCATTCAAAGTAAAACTTTCCCTGTGTTTGCCGAAGTGGTTTCAGCACTACAGTCGGAGCGGCGCGCTGCGCAAAGATTTCAATTGGCGGGCCTTCGAGAATGATGGCTGCCTCTTGGTAGTTATCAGCTCCTTCGACTGTTGCCAAAGATTTATAGTCCATTTCCATGGTTTAGCCACTGTTATGTCTTTCAAGAAGATTAATGCTGCCAAATGATTATTTCCGCTTTTCGCTCTACTGAAAGTCTTTATGTTGTGCAGAGCTCAATATTGAATACTCGTAACTTTTACGTTGATTTTCTCACGTACTTAACTATGTAGGCAAAAGCCGTTTGTTCGATTATTCCCGTAACTAGTAAGACTTTAATTTGTTTCTTCAGCGTCTATACAGGAACTCTGGCCGCCATTTTCCCCTATTTTTGATGCATATTCCTACATTTGTTTGGGTAATTACGTGACGCTCTCTAATCTCTTGGCCTACAAACGATGCGTAGCTAATCTGTAAATTGATACATCTTTATTCATATCTTTTTAAAAATTAAAATATCATATGGGCATATTTTAGTGGGGTTTCGGTTTATGCTCACGACTTCCTTCGGAACGGTTCAAATAAAACCTCACTTAACTGACGAAAAAACTCATATTCTCCTTATCAAGCAAATCATATCATTTGCGGCTACTAAGCCATAAATGTCTGTCGAAATGAGTGAGTGAGTGATGGTAATAAGTAGCAATTATAAAGTATGCCGAATTTCACCCGATTTTGACCCTTGATGTCACTTATGTTTATTTCTGGGTATGGTATCTTCGTAGATCGACATTCGCGCTTAAGATTGTTGGGCGCTGTATACACTAAAGAAAAAAGTACCTTTGAATCCAATCATTTTGTGCCTAAAACAACCCAAGATTGATTTTTTAGTTCTTGCCGTGACACTGCAGAAGACGATGAACATCTCATAATAATTCAAAAACTTTTCCTTGTAGAAATATATGAATAGGTGTGATCGGCGAGTCGAGTAAAATCAGAGGATTTTTTTTCTTTTAAAGAGAAAGCGTTGTACCGTTTGAATCGGCGAATATTATACCATGTAGATCCTAAGATGTTATTGGATGAAGGATGAATTGGATTAAGTGTACTCGGGTGACGAAAACTGTTAACTGGCATTGTGGCAATAGAGCAACGTGCATAACTTCGTAAAAGGTGTTCTTCACAAGGAATGGTGACGATTTCTACTTAAAATTGACCTCGACTACCAAATCTTTCAATGACCCAAAGCTTCATCCTTTCGACCACACTCATCATGAACAATATTTTTTGCACATAACATCAACTGAATACAATTTAATTTCAATAGTTATTTACAGGAAATAGAAGTGCTAAAAAATTTCCATGATTACTTCAACACGATTTAAACTAAAGCATGGGTTGTAGATCTATAAAACGAACAACAGCTAGGAGTGTCCTTTGCCATTCAACTGTATGTAAAATTATTATCGTGAAATGGATTTTCTCCGCTTGTCTAATCAATCTGTGGATTGTTCTTGAACAGATACTCAGCCTAAAATAAAATTAAAAAAAAAAAGAAGAAGAAAAAGAAAGAAAGATGTCTTAGGGAAGCAAAACAAAAGAAAAAATCAACGACCAATCAGATCAAAGGGAATCGTCTCAAGGAGCCAATGAGAATAAAGACGCTCCCTAGCGCGGGTAAACGCGAGTGACCATTGCGTTCGGTGCTGCATCTGATTGGTGGCATGAGGTCTTTCATCAACGACCAATCAGAAAGCGCGAAGAAGCAAAACCAACACAAGTTTGGATTACAAACTGAATGATGCTATTTCCGGCTCAAAACTTACCAAGTAATCGACCGGATCATCAGGGCGCATTTTACAGCATTCTATAAGGCCTTGGGCCAATGTCGGCATAACGTGCTTCATGAGATAGTTCCTCAGGGGAATGGACTGGTTTTCTAGGAGCTCCTGTTCCTGACGTTTCACTTCTGACAATCGGACACGCTAAAAAGAATGAAACAATTATTACGGAATTAAGCAATTCTTGGCCAAGTGGAAGTTTTTAGAGGTACAACACAAGTATAAACTTACCCACCGGCACACGCAGTTGTAGCGCCTACGAGCCTTTACGAACGTTTCTACGCCCGCGAAGAGGTGGTCTGCCACTGATATACTTCCTAGGGCCAGATCCCCGGCAGACCTCTCCCCGAATCGTCTCAAGTCTTCCGCGTTCGGAGAAACGCTCGTTTTGCAGTGCAAGCGAAGAAGGCCTGGTCACAGGCTGGCAGATGAAGTGAGCGAAAACGAAAAGGTGTGAAGGCGACTCATGTAATCAAATCTAAATCCCAACGCTGGGAGGAGCTTTCTCTTCTGTGCATGTGATAGGTACACAACTATCTCATTTTCTTAGTTTAAGCACAGGTAACTGTATTTTCGCTTTTCTTTCTAATTTTCTGACAACTAGTTACATGTAACTGTTCCAGTCTTTCGGTCTCTAAAACCAACACAACAACAACAACAACAACAACAACAACAACAACAACGGTTTTAAATCTTACCCATTCTTCCTCCCGTCGTTGTCTCTCGGCCGCTTCTTCTGCATCTCGTTTTTCCCTTTCTTCTCTTGCTTTCCGTTCCTTTTGAAGCTATACAGAAGAAAAGAAAGAGATACTTAAAGTTATCAATATCCTGAACACGAAAAGAACTGCAGTACTCCTTAAGAAATTAAAACCGCTCCATTAGCAAATCGAGAACACTTGTCTAATTGCGAAATCAGATCAAATAGCGGCAACATGTTCAACCACTCTTGTCCATTACTTCATAGCGAGGAACAACGTACCCGTTTCTCTGTTTCAATTCTTTCCATCTCTGCTAACTCATCTGGTGTGGGACCTAAATAATAATAACAATTATAAATACATACATAAATACATGATACATGCGCAGAAATCAAGTAGCATTTGTGTTCAAAGGCAAATGCAAATATTGTTCCTCTTGATTTTCATTTCAATAGGGTTTACACCGATAAGTTACCATTCCCTACTTTACATGTCATATCTTTCATTTCGAGTTATGTTGTTACCGTAATTTCTTGGCTTTCCCATCAGCTTTTTGATCTGCTCCACTACTTTGGTCATTTTTCTTGTTTTATCCTGAGTTATGTCTGGCAAAGGATTAAAATTTTGATGGTAAATAAAAGTGAAAAAAATATCTTCAGTAGCGTACAACCGTTATTTAGTTGTTGCCTATTCATTTTAGCAGTAACCGACTCCAGAAGTCATGTTCTGTTTGCATCTTATGGGTGGCAGCCCTGCTCAGCAAATGCTTGCCAACCCTTGAACTCCAACGATCCGAATATTAATTCTCTAACTTGCCTTGACATTTCTTTTTAAATTTCTGGGGATGATACAGTATCATATCAAGACAACAATCCTTTAATTTATAATTTTTTTTCCATCGGATCCCCATCTCAAGTTTGCTATATATATACATTGTGTACTTAATGTGAATATTACTTCATTCAATTTTTTATGGCAAGGTTAACAAAGAAACATGTGCGTATAAAATCGACGAAAAAAATTGCTACGGTTCTTAGAGTTAATATTTAAACTTCTTTCCATCGAGACTAAAACAATATGATCTACTCACCGATATGATCTGGGTGGATTTCCAACTCATCAAAATAATTCAATACTGTCTCGTCCTCGGTATTAGAAGCGCGAAACTCAGCCAGTCGCCGCATCAGACCTAAATTGCACAAGAAAAAACATTCGAAATCTATCCAAGTCGTTTGCAGCAAACAGAAAGAAAAACAAGAAAGCAAGCAACTGCCTCACAAATTCTACATGACCAGCGTACAAAAGCAATCCAGTTAAATCGTTTACAAGATACAGCGCTTTTCGATTGACTGCCATGAAACCAAATCGAAGTAATCACAACAGCCAATCAGAAGAAAGGAAAGAGTATCTTCAAGAGCCAATGAGAACTCAGAATAAAACCAACCAAACTGTATAAAGTGCGGAAAAATGCGGGCCGAGCGACCACGTCGTGATTGATTTTAGTTTTACATTTGATTAGTTGAGAGAGAGTGGCGCGAGTTTTCTGGACCAATCATAGAGCGAGGCAAAGCAATCCCAGGTTACTTGACAGAGCTGAATAACGTATACGCATGCGCTAGGTTTTGCCGCAGAAACACGGATTTTGAGTCGTTCGCATGGTTGATTTCTTATTCTGTTACACTGAGGCGTCGTTTTCCTTGCCGCTTTTCTTTTACAGAACAACCTCCAAAAACTTGGTACCACCCCTAAAAATTTTCAAAAATTAATATTCTCCTTAAAATCTCTGGAAATAGGAAAATGCCTTCGACAAAAACAGAGTTCCTCGGTTTTAAAAGCCAGCCCTTATTATTTTCCGCTAATTTCGCTAAATTTTAGACCCTGGACACTTGAGCCCGCGTCGTTGACCGCATACCCTCCGACGTATCATTCATTATTCAGCTCTGTCAGGTTACTTTAAACACTCACTTAAAACTTGCTCAATTCTCTAATCCGACGAAGGTTTTTGATACTAGTTTCTACGGTAGCACTTACCGTATCTACTACGGTCGTTCTGAAATGTATCAAAACTATCTCTTTGACGAATTTATCCCAATCCTGAACTCAACCGAGCAACAAACTGTAACCGTGCTGTACAGCCAACGCACACTTAGCCTTTTTTTCAGCGGTTATTATCATCGCTCACCTTCCTCTGTATTGTGTGTACCAGCGACGACACTTTCCGGTAAGTTCATTACTCTGGTCTTTAAGAATTCGTCCGGGGCATCAAGTGAAACCACCACCTCTGTAATGACGAAAAAAAAAGAAAATTTCGTTCAGCTCGAGACA